GAAGCATGCCTACAAAAGCAGAAGTCAAAGCCGAAGAATTGGGTTCCATGGCCAGAAAGCTGTAGTCCATGGCGTCGTGTGCACGCCGACTTCTGCGGACCATTTCTCGGTCAGTATCACGCACTAGTACTTATCGATTCATACTCAAAATGGCCTGAATTGTTTATAACCATCACACCAACAACATCATTTGTGATGCGGGTACTACGAAAGTGTTTCGGCCGAGAGGGTGTGCCTCAAGTGTTGGTGACTGACAGTGGGTCGCAATTCTGCGCTGCGGAGTTGAAATCGTGGCTGGACAGTATCAACTGGTGACATCTACGCACAGCACCACGTCACCCCTGCTCGAACGGCACAACAGAAAATTTGGTGAAAACGGTGAAGAGTGCCATTTCCTCGCAAATCCAAGAACAATTGTAGAGTTGGAGATACTCCTAGACAACTTCCTACTGCAATAGCGGAATGCCGCAAATGCTACCACCAAAGAGAGTCCAGCGAAACTGTTCAAAGCCAGGAGCTTACGTTCCTCACTGCGATGCGTGGATTCCAGTGACGTCGTATACTTCCGAGGAAACGACTTGAGACCATCAAGAGGAATCATTACCCGCAAGATTGGTCAAGCTATGGTCGAGATCACTGATCTGACAGATGCGATGGTTCATCGACGCCACATTGACCAGATTCACTTCAACGAACCTCCGACTTCGACTGAAGACCTTGCCGAGGAAACCCGGGGCAGCAGTAATTAAAAATGGCATTGATTGTTTGGGTGAACAGGGGGACACATGAATAGAGAAGACGGATATGAAGAAAATCATAAAGAGGCTTGTCTGAGGGATTCGAAATCTGATATGCTCAGATCAGAAGAAAGATTTATATGCACTGAGTGAATACAATGTAGTTCGAACCAGGAGTGAGCAATGGTCACTGGAGGAAATAGGTGCTTTTAGTGCTAAAGAAAAAAGAGGTGAATGATTGATAATTACTCTGTCCGGTATAGAATTACTTCTTGTGGGAGAGTGACAAAGATCTGTCATACCTAATGATAAAAGAGGACAAGTACTAGTATGATAAAAGTCCCGAACAATTATGTGCAGGTTAACATTTAATGTGGGGCAATAAAAGGTATGAACAAGTCGAAAAATGACATGCGATCTGATTGTGTACAGTAAGGCGCTATATAAAAATTAGTCAAAATTGTGTGCGTAAAACGGGAAAATCTAGGATGACACTGTTTAGTTAGGCACTCAATACCTTTTGAGCAGTACTGAAAAACAACATGGGACTTGCAACATCAGGAAACGTTGACATATGTGACAACATCAGTCTTTTCCTCCGGTTCCACGATCCTGTCGGCAAACTTGAAAACCGTCTATTGACACTAGAGAGTCATCTACATCCTTATTCAACCAGAATTCTTGAACACAGACTGCACACGTGTTCGTATGAATTCTTGATCGGAGGACACTAGTTAAATCCGACCTTTTGGTAAACGGGGACCAAGTGTTACTGCTGACCAATAAGGGGACAGTCATCTTGGACAGAGGGGTGCAATTAAGAGCAACTTGCCATCCTGCACGCTTGCATTTTTGGTCCAGCCTGGACAGTGAGAAACTGGA